GTATAGGCATGGTGACGAGTATCTATACGTTGGTGTCGAGCATGACCGTGAGTCTTATATTGTGATTTCCATGATTTCGTTGTATTATTCATGCCTTGGTGAAAATTTCTATTTGTTGTGTAAAGTTGTGAAAAGAATTGTGCCTATGAACATTGAGGAGCGTTGGCTCCAGTTGTATAACGAATTGTGGTAGTATAAGTGATAATTGAACCTCTAGGGCAGTGGCTCGAGTTGTGAAGCGAATTGTGAAGTAAAAGTGAGAAAGAGAAGAGATCATTATGTTGCCCCATTGTCGGGCTGTTGTTGAGTTGTGGGTCCCTTGCATTGTGTTCTTAATTGATATTACGGATACTTAGGTTGATGATTCTTTGTGTTAGGTAAGGATTATGGTTATAGCTGAGGTAGTTAGATGTTGGAACAAGTTTGGGTATAGCTGAGGTAGTTAGGTGTTGTAATAAGTTTGGGTATAGCTGAGGTAGATAGGTGTTGTAACAAGTTTGGTTATAACTGTTTTTTTTCCCTTGCCAGGATAGTGTAGACCTTTTGATCCCTTGTCGGGACTCTCGTTATAATTGTAAATATATATATGGATCGGGTTGCACGCCGCAACAATATTATATATGGATCGGGTTGCACGCCGCAATAATATTATATATGATTGGGTTGCACGCCGCAACAATATTACATATGGATTGGGTTGCACGCCGCAACAATATTATATGGGACGGGTGGTACGCCTACCACGAGATATAATGAAATGGGAGCGGGTGGTACACCTACCACGAGATGTAATGAAATGGGAGCGGGTGGTGCGCCTACTACGAGATGTAATGAAATGGGAGCGGGTGGTTCGCCTACTACGAGATGTAATGAAATGGGAGCGGGTGGTACGCCTACCACGAGGTGTAATGAAATGGGAGCGGGTGGCACGCCTGCCACGAGATATAGGAAATGGGATCGAGTTGCACGCCAGCAACAAGATGTGAAAAGAAAGTGAAACCTGCCTTTGTTTTCCTTATTCTTGTTAGTGGTTGGATTTTAATTCCTTATTAGTTCTCTTGATATTCTGTTTCTACCTGTCATTCCCCAAAGCATGTTTCCCCCTCCCATCCTTACTTGTTTATTTCTGCTTCACTTTACGCTGTATATTATATAATTTCACAGGTTCATTTGGTGGTCTAGTCCTAGCCTCGTCACTACTTCGCCGAGGTTAGGCTAGGCACTTACCAGCACATGGGGTCGGTTGTGCTGATACTACACTCTGCACTCTTTTGTGCAAACCCCCGGCGTTGTAGACTTTGGACCGCAGTGGGATTGCTGATTCTTGTTCATCAGGCGACCCGAGGTATTCCTACAGGCGTCCGTAGGTCTTGGCGTCTCCTCCCACCTACTATTCCTGTTTCTTTCATGTATTTCCAGAGACAGTATTGTATTTATTTCTTTCAGACCTTTATTTGTAGTATTCTTAGACCGTCTGTGATACTGTGACACCAGTTCTGGGTAGTCGAGACTCAAACAGTTGTATTAGAAATTCGTGTTCAGATCGCTTATGGCTCATTTCTTCCGCTTATGTTAAATTCCGCTATTTAAATGTTATTATTATTATTATTAAAATTGCTAATGAATACAAAATGAGTAAAAAGGGTAAATTGTGAAATTAATTGGCTTGCCTAGCTCGTACTAGTAGGCGCCATCACGACTCCCGAGGGTGGGAATCCAAGTCGTGACAAGTATCTTTTCACAGACGGCAGCACAGTTCTTCTTCCTAACATGAAAGAGATAGAAGAAAGGGTAACACGGTCTTTTCATATTAATTTTAGGGAAAAGGTCTTAAATTGCCCCTATACTATGGTATATAGTTCATATTTGTCCCCCGTTATATTTTTCGTCCAAATCAACCCCTACCGTTAACAAAGTATGTAAAATTGCCCCTAGCCCTAACGGATCTCCACTCTCACAGCCGACCCTTCTATTAATTTGTCCATGTCAGCACCTAATATCTTGTTTATTGCCTTTACTAAATTAGAAAATTAAAAAAGTAATTCTCCCACATTTAAACTAGTTTTGTTTTATAAACCACTCTGCCTTCCTCCTTTAGCAGTTGCCGATGCCGGAAACTAGATCCGTCATGCCACCATTTTTAATCAAAACTCTTAACAATTTATTCTTCTATTTCTGATGTATTAATACATCTTTACCATTCTTACTAAAGTCAATGGAGATCTACCGAGAACCATTGTCATTCGAAGACATCGAATCCATTGCAATTTCCTTTCTAATTTCAAGCAATTTTCGTAAACTTCAATAAAATCACTACTGCAACTGAGCTGGGCTTTATGATCAACAAAAAATTGACTTCGAAAATATACTAGATATGGATTTGAACATGCAAGAAAGATAAATCATGGTCAAAGAATTTTCTGGTGGCTTCCGACGGTGTTCGGACAGATCTTGTTTCTAGTGGTGGGGATATTTTCGATAGGTCGCAAATACAGGAGGAGAGAGAGAGATGGGGGTGGATCTAATCAGCTTTTAGGACAATCTGAATGTTGATGAAAAAGTCATATCCTTACCTGCAGTGCTTCTCCGGCTATGAGTAAACGGCGAGTTTATCCTCGTCGGCTTGTCGGAAATTTTGAACTTTTTGAAAAACATCAAAGGAGATGATGGTGGGGTGGGGATAGGGCTGGGCAGTAGAAGGTGGACGGTGGAACAAATATTTGTAAATGAATATAAAAGGCAACTGAAGAGATTGATTTCATTCAAAAAGTTGGCTGCTCCAACCTCCATTTCCGACCAAGGAAGGCATCCTTCTCTCTCCTCATCCCAATTATTTTGGTCAATAAAACATAGTGAGAATTATATTTAGGTATTGACTTGGGTCTAATAGGTTAGTGGAAGTCCCAATTAGCAGCTGAGTTGGCACCTAACTTGGAAAAAAGAGATGGGTCAGCTGCCACTTGGACGGGGCGTTAGGATTAGGGGTAATTGTATAGACTTTATTAACGGTAGGGTGGAGATTGAACGTAAAGTGTAACGGGGGATGAACGTGCATGAATTTCAATAGTACAAGGGTAATAATAGCCTTTTTCCCTTAATTTTAATAGACTAGTGGCTACTATTGCTAAGCGTTGAAAATGCTGGATAAAAAATAAATACCACTTTAAAAAGTGGCTACCCCACAAAATTTTTACTCAAATGCCGGGTGAGATACGATCCATGATCCAATGATTTTGAATTTTTCAGATTTAACATCAAATGCAGCTATAGTAAGTTCATCCTTATGGTAAACAAATCGATAAATAACTCCACCAATGCAAACCCCGGGCATGCATAGAACACGAGGAGAAATACTTTCAATCTCTCTCCATGATTTGTCTATGCCTAAAGTTAAAATCCAATATTTATTGTACCCTTCTTCAACAAGCTCACATGTCAAAGAACTTTGTACTTCTTTTCTTCTAAATCAAAACCTAATGCATATCTAGGCTGAATAAAATCTTTATTTAGGTTGGGAAGAAATCTTACTTTTCCTGTACTGGGATTGAAAATCACTGCAGTCCAGCAAATGTTGGTCCCCAAAAGCAAAATAAACCAATAACGTAATCCAAACCAGAATATGCAGGGGCATTGTAGTAGAGTTCATCAATTTGAAGAAGGGAGGCAGAGGCTCTCCCATCTTCTATTTGTTCAATAGTGTAAAAAACTGGTCTCGTTTCCTGCGAAAAGAATTATGTTCCACCATGACGGATCATAGAGCGACATACATGGATATTCAAAAAATCGGATTGAATTACAAAATTTGGTAACGCACTTGAAACGCACTAACGATTTAACAGGAAGCCACGAGAATATTTCATAGATGATTTCTTGAGGAATAGACAGTTTTCTTCCCGTAGAATTCATCTTCTTCTTCATTGGACGCCTTGGCGTGCGGCTGAAGTGAACAGTCATGGGACGCCTCATTGGAAAGACCTACGTAGGTAGGGCAAAGTGTACGCAAACCTTATACCTACCTTGCGAAGGTAGAGAGGCTGTTTCCAACAGACTTCGGCTCAAGGAACAGTGACAAGGAAGCAATCAACAATAACAAGGAAAAAACAAAGGCACAACGTGAAATAACAAAGATCTAGAGATAAGAGATACAAGAACAGTACTAATACTATTGGTAAGAATGACACAATAAAAAGTAGGAACAAGAAAATAAAACAACAACAACAACAACAGAAGACCTACCGTAATCCAACAAGTGGGGTCTGAGATGGTAGTATGTACGCAGATCTTAACCTTACCTTCAAGAAGGCAGAGAGGCTGTTTCCGAAAGACCCTTGGCTTAGGAAAGATAAAAGGAAGGACAGCAGCAATCACACCAATTATAAAACCGAAGTAAAAATATAAAGATACAAAACTAAAACTGGGTAATGTAATCAGAAGGCAGAAACGAAACCAACGACAAGTAATCACATAAATCAAGGAATACAAAAATACATGAATAACGTAACTCATGTACTAAAGCTACTGTTACAGACAAGGACAACACTAGGCGACCTATTCTAACCATTTACCTTTATTCTCAACCTCCACACATTCCTATCCAAGGTCATGTCCTGAGTGAGCTGAAACAACGTCATATCTTGCCTAATCGCCTCTCCCAAATACTTCTTCGGCCTACCACTTCCTCTCCTTAGGCCCTCCAGGGCCGACTCTCACACCTCCTCACTGGTGCATTTGCATATCTCCTCTTCACATGTCCGAACCATCTAAGTCTCGCCTCCCGCATCTTGTCCTCCACAGGGGTGGAAGGCTATAAGAATATTACTAATACTACTGGGACAACTAGGAGGAATCCTCGACTACCTATCATTAGCATTAGAGAACTGAACATACAGTTTTTTCACGTTAGGACAACTATAGCATTGACTTCCATTGTGTTGGTGAAGTCAAAGTTAAAGCAAGAGCTGAGAGCATCCCCTCAGAGCAATTGCGTTGCGCTGACATAATTTAGCAAAAGAGAAACATCCACACTATCCAAATTCCAAGTCTAGGAGATCATAATACAGGGAGAAACTTTACATGTTAGCATAAGATTGTTGAGTGATGCAGATCTGGATACAGGACAATATACAAAATTACAAATCAATGATAGCATACATACACTGTCAGACTGGCCTGATAATACGAGCTGTAACGATCAAATGACCCCATGTTTTTAACCCCATCAAAGATTTATGACTGTTAAATGGTGGTTCCATTCTTTTCAAGTTCACGTTGTCTGGCTCTTTCCATCTTTCGCTTACGCCATTCTTCCAAAACTGTACAGTTGCAGTAAATGAAGAAAAGTTTAATTGTTGAAGGAACATGTTTAACAAATGATCATACAAAATCATGATTTTAACTGTGTACCATCTTCGAGGGATAAAGATGTGGTCTTTTAATGCTCCTAACAGTAGAGTTAGAATTCTTAACATCTAATTTAGGAACTGCCAGTACTATCATGGCAAAAAGCGCAAAAAAACTAAGGTCCATTGGGACTTTAAGTGCAAAGCGCAAATAAGACGTAGGCTTTAACGAAGAAAGGCACAAATAGAAAAAAAATACAAATATGTATGTATAGTCAAAGACTAGCACTTACAAACATGAATAACAAATATATTGAGAAAGAAATTGAAAAAAAAATACGAAAAAGTGAAATATTAGTTGTTTGGTGTCGCCTCTTCAGGATTACGCTTACTGGCAAAAAGTATGCCTTAGAGCATTGACGACGACACTGAAGCGCCCGTCTAGCAAGGCGAAGCGCTCAACATGTTTCGCACCTCGCTTCAGGGTTTAGGCGCGCCTTTGACAACACCGGGAACTGCCAATCGAACTTGAGGGAATAATCAACTTAACAATTCTCTCAATCATTCTTTCCTTATTCTTCTTAGTGTGTCTTTTTAGGATACTGGATAAGGCAAATTACTAATTCCTATATTTCCAAGATCACAAGTCAGTCCTTCACTCCAAGTCTACTTGCATCACTCTCATCCTCCTACTTACACCGATGATAATTCTTCACATGATGCACTTATGCTGTCAACTCCTGATTACTCGTCTTTTAACCCTCATCTGTCCGACATTAGCAGATAATACCACTCCATCCACTGTCACACGTAAAAGTCATTGTTCTCCTCATATTTACATCAAATTTATAACTTCCTGAACTATCATTGTATCTTATGATTTCTATCAACGTTGTCTAATGTTACTGTAAGAAAAAGATAATTACTGAAACATCGGAACATCTAAGATAAGTAGAGTAGAAACGAGATATCACCATAGAGAAAATGATTGCTCTCCTTATTCTATAAATGTGGATCCTGATGGAAAACTTGATTGGCTGAAGGCATGCCTATTGCCAACAGGTACATTTAAATCTATAATCTTGATTAGACTGACACATTCTCTACGGTTGCTAACAAGTAACAACATGCATCACTGATCGCTTGGTCAGCTGTATATTAACAAAGTGTTTGTGTATGGAGAACTTGCTGAGGAAGTATATATGGAGCAACGACTAGAGTTTGTTGCTTAGGGTCAGGCTCGGTATGTCTGTCTTAGATGGTCACTATATGGTTTGAAATAATCCTGGTACGTATAGCTTGGAAGGTTCAGTTATGTGGTCTAGTTCAACCAGTGTTCAAAAAAGCGACCGCTTCCTCGCTTTAAGCGAGAAGCGAAGCGGAGCGCCGGGTGTGTCGCTACCTGTACTAAAAGCGACTCAGGTACAGAAAAGCGGTCGCTTCTACCAAAAAAGCGAGAAGCGGGAAAAGCGGAAGAAGCGGAAGAAGCGATCGCTTCTTGTAATAAACAGCCCAAACGAGTCTTTTTCAATTAAAAGACCCAAATCGAGTGAGTCTTCTGTTTTATTCATTCTTCAGCAGCAACCTAGGGTTTTAAACCAGCCCTTTCTTCCTCAAAAAACCAACGATTTCTTCCTCACATGAAGCAACGATTTGTTCAAGCAAACTAGGGTTCTTCTTCTTCTTCTTCTTCAACATTAAACAAGTCAACAACAGCTTTCAAGTTTCAACAGGTATGTTTTTATTTCCATTCTTCTTCTTCTTCTTTTTCTTTTTCTTTTTCTTTTTCTTTTTCTTTTTCTTTCTAAACGTCCAAAAAGCGCCGAAGTGCTGGCGAATTTTTTCCAGAAAATTTCGGCCCAGATTCTGCCCAATTTCTGCCAAATTATATATTTTTTATTCTTAGTTCTTATTGCCTTTCTTACAATTACATGTGTTGTCTATGCCATATTTATTTTAATTTTTTTTTAAAATTCCGCTTCACTTCAAAAAAGCGGGCGCTTCGCTTCTCGCTTCTCGCTTTTCGTGAAATGGGGGTTGTCGTTTTTCCTCGCTTCACGCTATTTTTAACACTGAGTTCAACAGTTTAGGATGACTCGAAGTGAAGCCAGTCATTTTGTTTCTTTCTTCAAACAGTATTTGTTTAACCACCTTGAGACCAAGGATCTGGAAAAGACTAAATTAATTACCTTAGGGAACTGAGGTAGCATAGTCCAAGATAATTGTCACCTTACAACGGAAGTACATTTTGGACTTACTAGAGGAAACAAATCCAGGGGAAGCCAAGCCATAGGAAGACCCCGGTTTATATCAGGAACTGGTTGATATACTGAATTGTTTCACAATGACGTGATAAGATAAATCACTTACGGAAAGTGTAGTCAGTCATTTACTTCAAACTCCATATACTGAGACGCAGTGATCCACATTCTCAGGTATGTCGCGAGAGCCCCAAGACAAAAGAACTATTATATGAAGACGAAGGACACTCACAAATTGTTGGATATTTTGACCCGAACTAGGTACGATCTACTACTTCTGGATACTGTCTTAGATCTAGTGCTTTAGTAGAAAACCGCACAAGGGTCCTATAATATGTGAGGTAATCTGATTAAAACTACTTTTCCAAGACCTAACGTAAACACCAACAAGAAGAAGCCCAGTAGTTTCCCACAAGTGGGGTTTGGGGAGGGTAAGATGTACGCAGCCTTACCCCTACCGTGGAAGGGCAGAGAGGCTGTTTCCGATAGACCCTCAGCTGAAGAACGGATGAAAAAAGAGAAGAGAAAAAGGTGGCAACAAGTAGGAATAACAACAAGATAAAAAACAGAAGTTGATGTGTGACATTAAATTGTCCTTCATATTGCCTCAATTCATTAACTGGATTCAGAAGGAAGCAAATGAACTACACAGGCAATTCAAGGAAGTCAAATGACTGATTAATGGTAAGTTTGATCGTAAGAGATATACGATTGACTGAAGCTTGCTATGCCATTTAATTCAGCACAAATTTTTCCTTTACTGATTCCAAGAGCTGCAGAAAACAGTATTGACGGACTAACCCTATGGCAAAGTGTTATAGAGGTCCTTTTGTGTCTTAAGCTAAGACAATGTTGCCCAAAGAGTTATTGAAAATTACCTTTCACGCTGCCTGAATCAGAATATGAGCGATAATTGTTCAGTCTAGATATGAGGTCTACTGCAGCAGTCTGTTTTGCATCCTTCTGTTGGACAGGATCTGGTTCGACATATCCTTCTTTCTGTATTTCCTTCACCTATCACGATAGAAGATTTTATATTCTCCACAAGCCTCACGAAATAGAAAACAAGACACTACTAGTACTATCGATGCACAGCATCCTAATTATTCAGCTATAGCAGAACAAGGAAAACCGAAGTGAGACAGTACTCACTCTTTTAATTAGCTCCACAGGCAGCATAGCACGGCGGATCTCATCTGCTTCCTTTACATACCTTTCAACTTCAGTCAACAGAGAAATGCCATATTAGTCATTCTCTTACCAGAATTAGATTAGGAGTAGTGACAGTTATTTGACAAGAAAATGAAACATCCTAGAACAACATTTAAGAGCAAAACTGGTGATCCACAACTCCACCTTTTATTTTCACACATGGGAGGAAACGAGGAAAACTCCTCCAGTAAGACTCAGACCATGCAATTCTGGACGAGATTAGATGGCTTTTGCCTTCAAGCCACTCCACTTGGCAGGAGCTGAATGTTTTACCCCATTGCTTAGCTCTACCACCCAAGTACACCACATCATGCTCATTCATAAATCATAAGGCGTCCTACTATTCATGAATCATGATGCAGTCTACTCCCTCCCTCTGTTCCATTTTAAGTGGCACTATTTTTCTGTTCCAAAAAGAATTGTTACCTTTCTATTTTTTAAAACACTTCAACTTCAAACTTCTCATTTTACTTTTAATCGCGTGCTTTTAAATTGTTGCAAATCTCATGGCATGTGAAAGACCACAAGTCTCAAAAGTCTCTTTTTCTTTCTTAAACTCCAAGCTCAGTCAAACATGGCTAGACAAATTAAAACGGAGGAAGTATTGCTTTAAAACAGCTTATACAAAAATTGGATATTTTTTTTGTCCCCATCAAATCAGAAAATGGTGCAATCAGAAACCCAATGCAACTGACAAGGCTTACCAAGTAATCTCCCAATTTGACCTCCAAAAATCCCATAAATTTAGGATCAGTTTAGGGTACTTTCAAAAGAATTACAGAAACTCAAAAAGGGTCAGATGGCAACTTACAAGAAACCTTTTTTGCGCTATTTAAGCAAGAAATCCCACTAAATTGCTTCCATTAAAGGGAATACAAAAGAAAGGCAGTAACTTTTTAGCCTCATATACTCTTAAGTTATACAAATAATGGAATAAAGGTGAAAATTTAGATCACCAAATGCAACAACCCTAAATCAAAAGTAACCATTTTAACAGTTCTTGATCAACTAGCAAAACCCATAAATATCAAATAGAGAAAGCACAATTTCTTTTTTTTAGAAGGGCAAGAATTGTTGGAGCTGAAAATGAAGAAAAGTTGAAGGAAAAGGTAAGAAGAGAAGGGAACCTGAAGATGGTTTGCTGGAAGATGAAGAAGAGAAAAAACTGTGAAGTAGAAAAAGGGAAGCAATCAAATTGAACAAAGTGACAACAATTGTAGCATTCTTGAATGACCACCTTAACCTCCACCTATGTTGTATCACCTCCATTTCAACACCCAGCTGAAAAAGGAAGGTTCTTGATTCAACAATCTGTGTTTTCTGAATGAAAGTTTCTATAATTGGAAATTACTAATTTGGGATCTTAAACTTTGTGAAAGGACATTTAGAGAAAATAGATCTTTTGAAATTCTTTAGAAGGGAATTATTGTGTTGAAAACTGAGCTGCTTAATTAAATTCGCCGTAATAAAAAAAAAATAAAAAAAAAAAACTGTTTAAGAAAAAAAAATATCTAGAAAAAACCTGTTGGACTGGAGCCTAGAGGGGGAAGGGCAAGGTGAAGTAATTTAGCAATTAAAGGTTGGTTTTTATCTTGGAAGGGAAGGAGTTCATTTGTTGCTAGACATAAGTGCAATGGGACCATATCTCAGTGTAATGTTTTAGATTTGTTTTTCAAGTATAATGTGAGATGTGACATTCGGTTGAATCTCAACGAAACACGAGAAAGATGTTATGTATATTTATCTATACTATTTTAAAAGTGGGAACATCAACTCTAAATATTAAAAGATTAAAATATCTTTTCACCAATTTTAACTTTAAAAAATTAGTTAAATTATGAAAAGACACAACTATAAATAAAAGACACTTTCCAAATAAAGTTGTTTAAAATTAATATATAATCCATATCTATATATACCAATAAAAAAATAAACTCAATAATGAAAGGACACAACTATAAGTGAAAAGGATTTTTCTCAAACGTTCGGAAGGAATTTTGCTGTACCTTTTACAAATCTTGGCTTTGCAACAGATTTGTACCAAAGGATTACCCTTTATTCAGTCATGACTGTCATTGGGTTATCATTAAAGTGGATCGAAATTTTCTATTTAATTTCACCGTGCAATGGTTCGAAATGTTTACCTCGAAAATACGAGTAACAACTAAACTTGTTTATGGTTTTAAAAATACGTGATTTAATTCAATACTAATTAATAACCAAGAAATCTGAAGTATAAATGAAAGAAGTAAGGTGAATCAAACCAGTATTTAAGTAAGTCTCGATCTCGAGCTGTGATGGCGTCGAGGTTGGTCAACAAGAACAGTAAAATAAAGACTATGAAGATAAGAGACAATTCTGATGAAATATGAGCAATAAAGTAAGAGAGTATATTCTTTGCTAATGATTGATGATGGTTACAAATGATTGGGGTCGCCTTTATATAATACGGAAACCCTAAATATGGCACATTTCTATTTACAGTAAGGAATCTTATTGGGACATCTGTCTAACCGCCTAGTACGGATTTGTACTAACTCGTACAAATCTATTCAGAAATTTACGCCATGATCTTGGGGACGTGGCGGGAATCTTGCTCTTTCTGTTTCAAACCCATAAAGGCGTCATCTTGGGGTCGGTCGGGCTCGGCTTCGGTATTCATTGCGTACTTCGATCTTCGAGCCTTATATTATGTCATTGGTTTCGAGCTTGGTCCATCGAGCTCGAACTCGATCCATCTTGAACTCGGGCTTGAGGTGACTCTTCGAGCCCATAAAATCGGGCATACCTGATTTCGACCGTATACAGATAGTCCCCGCGTTTCTTAGAGTAAGATGATAAGAAATGATTTGATCCTCGATCCTCCGATGCCTCGATCATGATGTCAATCTCGTGACGTTAGCGACTGAAGTGATTGAAAGGTTGCGTCTGCATAGTTCCCAATGCCATTAATTGAAGGCGGCTGACAGTCGGCCATTGGCTTCCCCAAACCGTTAAAGTGACCACTATAAATAGATCAATCTCACAACCTTTACACTCTTTACTTCTCAAATCTTTCTCAAACCTCATTAGCTTCTTCATCTTTCCTGAGTTCATCCTTTCTTTAACTTGTTCTTGTTACAGCACCAACTTCTTCTCTTCTCTTGAACTCTTTAACGGTAATGGCCAAAACATCTAAAACCGTTCCTCAGAAAGAAAAAGCCTCCTCATCATCACGGCCGGCCAGAGGTAGAACCACGGTGCCACCTCGTATCGAGGAATGTGTTCCCGGGCCATGCGAGCTATCTTCCAATTTCAAAATCGATAAGCCTGCATCGGTTCCAGGTCGATGCGAACCCATATCTCGATACATCTGCTTGATAACTGAAGATGAACTCGAGCAGGTGAAAGAGGATTGTAATTGGGGGGATAAGGATGTTGTGATTCCTTCCCCCGAAGAAGACATTACCACCCATAAGGTAGGGTAGCGTGTATACCTACCCTTTTACATTGGGTCTCGTAGATCTAGCACCGGTCCCATAGATCCAGTCATTCTTGATTTCTGCCACTAATACCAGGTGACGCTTAGCCAGATCTATCCTTCTTTTTTTCATCGTCAATTTGATCAGGTATTTCTCGGGCCCGGTTGAGGGGATGCCTTTTACCCTCGACCACCTGATAAAGCTTCAGCGCCGATCCTCGAAGTCATTTTTCTCCAGCATCGATGAGGATAAAGACCGAGGATGGATGAGCTGGTTTTCCGAATCAAGACTTCCGATTTGATTCCTGCCGAGAGGATGCCATTCTCCGAGGAATGGAACATGAAACGTAAGTACAAACTTATCAATGGTGATTAATATTCCGTTTTCCCTATTCTTCCTCGATTTAATCCCCTTTTGACGATGCAGCTGTCCCTTGGTTTTCTGGTGCGATTCCGTACCTCGCAGGTTGAGTCCGGCAACTGGCCTCCACTTCTTCATACGCGGAACGCAGTTGGCGTGATTTGGCCAAGGGTCGGTGGGAAGCTAAAAACCATGGTGAGATCCCTTGTACATATATCGGTGTTCTCAGTGAAATACTTACTTTACCCTTACGCAGGCCTCGAAGAGGCTGTTGTTATGCGCCGCCCCCCCGCCCGGTGAAGAGGAAATCCCAAAGCCAACCAAGGAGAAGGAGAGGAAAAGGGCTTCGCCTGCAAGTTCCTCGAAGCCCAAGAAAAGTAAGGCTCGAAAGCCTAGGGCCGATCCCGCGGCCCTATCTTGTGAAGCGGTCCAACACCTTCGGGATGATGAAGAGGAGGGAGAAGATGACGACTGCCTGTTGGTAGCTCGAAAGAGGGGGAGCATTGGAGCTTCGAAGACCGCTGAATCGGTGGTGGCTGATGCGGTTCAATCTTGAGCCGAAGAAATCTCGGAGGGAAGCTCAAGCAGAGTCCCCGAGCCATCGGGCGGCAAAATAACACCTCGTATTGGAGGTCATTTGGTGGGTGAGCCCGAGGGGCCTAGCTCCGAGGCCCTCCAAAAAGAAGACAATGTCCCTAGTGAGTCAATTGGTATAATCAACGTAGATGAATTGCCGTCTGGCCCTGTGTTCTACGAAGGGCAATTCCGAGATGCCCAGGACATGAGGACTCCCGATGTGGGAACGACCCACGAAGGGAGTGATATTTTCCGGGAGTGCCTTGCAGGGGTCGAAGATGGTCCCGACACGGATGCTTCGTTTATCTTTGATGAGGCTCAGCGGCTTCTCAAACAAGTAAGTTTCTATCTCCATAATTATGCTCGAATTTTATTCTCATTTTTCTAAGTCTGACTTCTTTTCTTTGTTATCTTTATGTATTAGTATTTATATATGTATTCTACAATGTTCTAACAAATTAATCTGGAAGATAAGAAAATGAATAGTGAATCATAATGAAGTTTCAAAGATCATCGATGGAAAATAAACGGTTGAATCTTAATGAAGAAACTTGAAACTTAATTCATTCGGCTATTTGTGCAAAGATCTCTTTTCTTAGCTAAGTGAGGTTGATACTTACCGCTAGCTAAAAAGGACTAAATAACTCCACCAACAACCTTATTGTTTTCTTCCTTCTACTCCCTTCCACCAATCCAATGCAACAACAACACTGCCAGGATGGCATTCCACCAAAACCACCAGATATAACTACTCTACATGCCAAGAACATTCCATCTGCCTCCTTTAAAGATAAACTACTAGCCAATGAAGTCAATGAAACTCTCTCTATTTCATCGCCTCTGTCATATCTCTCTCCTACAGATATGGACATAAATGAAATGGAAGATGAAAAGTCTAGCGAGAATCCTGAGGAGGAAATTAAAGTTCCCATAAGTGGGGAAGATAAACAACGTATTTATTACCCTTGGAGATTCTCAGTCATCATAAAACTTATGGGGAAAAAAATCCCCCACCAAGTTCTAAAACGTAAACTAACTGCCCTTTGGAAACCATCTGAATCCTTCCCTCTAATTGATCTAGGTGAACAATACTTCATTATTAAAT